GAGAGTATCGCCCAATCAACATGATTCATAGCGTGACTATTGACCATTTGACATTACTGGTAGGATGCTTCATAAGATGATTGGTTGGTAAGGTACTCGGTAGCGTGATTGATAAGATGATTGATAGGGTGATTCGCAGGGCCATTCTGCATGATTGGTGGGCTGATTATCGCTCAACCACCAACATGGTCCACAGGCTGACTATCGACCATTCGACATGATTGGTAGGATGATTGATAAGATGATTGGTTGGTAGTGTACTTGGTAGGGTGATTGATAACAAGGTGATTGGTCGGGTGATTGGTAGGGTGATTGGCAGGGTGATTGGCAGGGTGATTGGTACGGGTGATTGGTGAGGATGATTGGTGAGCGTGGTTGGTACGCGTGATCGGTAAGCGTGATTGACAGGAGAAAAGGGATTCAACCCTTAACCTATTGGTAAGCGTGATTGGTAATCGTGATTGGTACAGTGATCGGTAGGGTGAATGGTAATGTAAGGGTGATTAATTAGAAATAAAAGAGTGATTGGTAATAAAAGAGTGATCGGTAATAAAAGAGTGATTGGTAGTGGTGACTGGTAGAGGGAATGGTCAAGGTGATTACCGTCTTCCCCCGAACATAACGCACCCTGAAAATACTACCGTCTTCCCCCGAACACAACGCACCCTCATTTTGGCTGTAACAGACCGGAAACATAGCTTGTATACATTCATTATCACGGTGTGTTATGTTCGGGGTAAGACGGTAGTAATTGACTTACGCAAGCTATCTGTCCGATCCGGGTCAGCCATAACGAGGGTGCGCAGTGTTCGGGGGAAGACTGTAGTAGACTGAGTGGTAGGAGACCTGCAGGGATTATTACTGGAATACTTTCCGGAAGACCGATTAAAATAAAATATCAGTGAGATTTTTTTAATATATTGTTTAATGATTGCCTAATCATCGGTGGTCAAAGGCGGATCCATGATTCACGCTGTCGGATTTCGATAATGCACCAGAGACTGTTTTTTTTTTTTTTTTTTCCCGGTCGTTAATTGATCAATAATGCAATCATTTTTTTATTGGGTTGCCAAAAATATTATTACTGAATAATAGTGAATATATATTAAAACTCCGAAAATTAATTATCATTTTTTTTATTGGGTTGCCCAAAATATTACTACTGAATAATAGTGAATATATATTAAAGCTCCGAAAATCAATTACTTCACGTCAATCTGTGAATGAACGAACAGAGAAGGGAGATAAGCATGGCCCCTGCGCAATTAAAAAAAAAGGGAAAAAAATTAAAAAAAAGTCGTTGCCTGGTCCTTCGCGACATCATGGCCGTTAAAATTGAAACGATACAGAGAAGGAAGATTAGCATGCCCCCTGAGCAGTTAAAAAAAAAAAAAAAAAAAAAAAAGCGGTGGAGTGCATGTCCTTGTTCCAGTATGCCGTGAATGAGAACTCACTCCTTTTTTTTTTTTTTTTTTTTTTTTTAGAACTGACTCCTTTGGGCATTTAACTTCTTTTTTTTAATTTGTCAAAAGGAAAACGGGCATTTAACGACGACGTTCCTGGCCGTATTTTCAGCGTTTGTTTAAGCAAAATCGTTCAGGTCCTTTTAGTGGAGGGGAACACGGTAAGCCCCGACATTTCGGTTTTAAAAAAGCCGAAATTGCGGCCAGGAACGTCAAAAGTTTTAAATGCCCAAAAGGGTATATCATTGGAAATAGAAAAACAAGATCGATCTTGACACGACTTGGAGATATACTTTTCTTTTTTTCTCTCCTTTTTTTTTTTTTTTTTTATAGATATACGGTTCCATTGCAATGCCATCGTCATTTCCAATCTCCCTTTTTTTAATCATTGTCAACCTTTCTTAAGATTGGTAAGAGATTAATCCGCTAATACTGATGTAATCGTAAGATAATATTCCCGGGCGGCCCGGCCGTGCAAGAACTAGGGAAGGTCCCAGCCAAAAAAAACAAAAACAAAAGAAATCCAAAAAATCCGAGAAAAAACTACGTTTGCAGAAAAATAAACTGAACAACTTTTGCCTCAGGGTCACATCGAAATTCTTTACCAAATTTAGAATAAAAATTTTAACTAAAAAATCATTTTTATTTCTTTTTGGCCCGGCCAGGCAAGTGGACCCGGGCCACTCTGGTAGCCTGGATAATAGACGAATAATCTATGTTACCAGAGTGGCCCGGATCATACCAAAAGATTGCCAGCCGTTAAACCAAAAAAAAAGTTGTTCAGTTTATTTTTCTGCACAACACTTTTTTTTCGTTTTTTTTTTTAACAAGGACCTTCCCTGGTCCCTGCCCGGCCGGGCGGGCCGGTTTATAAGACAGTTAATAATATATTAATTAATATATATTTATTAAACTATTAATATAATAAAAAAATATAGCTTTATGCCCATTGCAGTGGAAGCTCTCTCTTTATAATATGCTAAGATCTTTCAATCAGTCGATCCGCTTTCAAACGGCCTAATCACTGGGATTTTTTATTTTTTTTCCCTTTACCCTTAAAAAAAAAAAAAAGAATTAAGAATTAAGTTTTCGCTCTACTAGATAATAAAAAACTCCAAACACACAAATTAAAATTTAAAAGTTGAAAAATTCGCACGTCGGCGCGGCGCTCTTCCGACCGCTGGCAATTGAATTGACCCGCGCTTATTTCACCTCACCAAACATTAGCCGTTACCTTACCTTTTTTTTTTTTGCCATCTCTCAATTCTCCCAAATTCACCTTCCACTACCTTCGCATAAACATAAGACGCTACCAATTTATTTTTTTTTCCCTCTCTCAAATTTACAAAAATTTGGAAGGAACAACGGTATTTTTGAAAGAATTTTTTATAAAAATGGTACCTCCTTTTTTTTGGAAACTGACAGGAACAACGGCGATTTGAAAAAATCGAGGTAGCCGTCGCCAGGCTGGAAATCATTTATAAAATATTTAAATAATAATATATTTAATATAATAATAAAGAGCGATGACGTATATAATGTCGGGCTGAACGACGACGACGACGACGATTCACAGGTCATCAACAGTTAATAAACAACGACGATAAACGGGTTTTTTTTTTGGTTTAGTTTGGACTATTTCTCGATTTACGCGTGTCATCCTTAATTGCGCAGGGGCCATGCTAATCTTCTTTCTCTGTATCGTTCCAATTTTAACGGAGAAAAGCGGTTTTTTTTCCCCTTATACGAGGGCAATTAGCGAGTTAATTGATACCGTTGATTGATGGAACGGTTCTTCTGAGGGAGGATGAGTGCAATGTATCGGTGCACAATTGCGATCGAATTCACTCGCTCGCTTCAGGAGGATGGTCGAGAGGAGGATGAACGGAATGAGAGACAAAGGATGGATGGGTAATTCTCGAATGAACATGGACATAACCAAGGCCAGGTGCATCCAGGAAAGTCAGTGTGAGCGCGTCCGAAAATAACATACCAGCTAGAACAGAAGCGAACGAGTGAGGGATTGGTAATTCGACTCAGCTCTCTCTCTCTCTCTCTCTCTCTCTCTCTCTCTCTCTCTCTCTCCCCTCCCCCCCTTCTTCTCCGCTTCAGTGGATCCCAATCCTTCCCGATCATCATACCAATCAACATACCAATCATCATACCAATCACCATACCAATCACGACATCAAGGGAGGAACATAGCAAATCACTGCTCTGAATCGGACAATTAGGGGGAAATGAAGCATTGGGGGAGACAGGGGGCGAAGGAGAGGGACAAGGGAGAGGATGAGATTGGGGAGAGCGAGGGGGGAAGGCATGGAAGGGGTGAGTGCAGTTCGGGGGTACAGATGGGAGCTCAGACGTCCCACGGAGATGGAGGAGGGAGATATGATGAGATGCAGGGAGATGCAGAGACAGATGCAGAGAGATGCAGAGGGATGCAGAAAAGATGCAGAGAGAGATGGAGAGAGATGGAGAGAGATGGAATGGAGGGAGACAGAGGGAACATGGAGAGAGATGAAGATTGAGTGGGGAGATCGACGGCAAAAGGAGAAGGGCGGCACTGCGGAGATGCCGGGAATGGAGGAGGTTACACGGAGGCTGGAAAGGGACAGAGAGGGATGGCGGATTTAGAGGGTTGCAGAGACCTTCGGGAGATGACCTGGCGTGGATGTAGACCCAGGACGATCTTTGTATAGCACTGGATTTGGACGCCACAAAACAACAAGTGCTCGCAGGGTAAGTCAGTTCGCGTTAAGAAAAGCAGAGAGAGAGAGAGAGAGGGAGAGAGAGAGAGAGAGAGAGGGAGAGAGAGAGAGAGAGAGAGAGAGAGAGA